GAATTATGACATTGTTAACCAGGTTGCCTCTGTCTTTAGCATCAGTGGGGAAATTTTACGATAATTTCTATCGTGAACAAGCCACCTTTCGATAGGAGAAATAAAAAATCAAAATAGTGTCGTGCCACAACTGTATTCACAAACTCATACCATTCTGGCGCACAAGTGCACCACTTCCATAAACGGCATAGATCAAGCAATGCACTTATAATTAAGCAATCACTAACAAAAACAACCACAACAATAAAAAAAAACATGTCAATTTTGCTCATATTTATTGTAGATAAGCATCTCGAACATGCAAAAATGATTAGTTAATAAGAAGCCTACCTGTTTGATTTTTCTCATCAAATCATTTGTTAGAAACTCTTCTTCTTGCTCATACTTTTGCGCCAAAGTTTCTTTGTCATTTTTGAGCTTTTGAATCCTACAATGAGGTGCATTATCAATGAAAGCTTGAGGCAACATCAGAGAAATGTAACCTCATCATATAATTTCAAAAAAAAACTTGAAATTGTGGAGCCATGTCTCAAAAGAAGAAGCTGTATTTCATGATTCAAGAATGATTCACCTATTAGAAGAAGATGATGACGCCTTTTTAAAAAGGAACGAAATGAAAAGTTCGTACCTTTTCAGCAGTATATTGGAAATATATTCCTCCTCTTGTTCTGCTTTTGCGTAAATTTTCACATAAGTTTCCTTAATCTGCTTATTAACGCTAAGCAAATTATCATAATTTTTCTGCATTTCACGCAACTGACGCTAAAAGACAAAGACATTACATTACAAAAATACAAGTTGTCACAATAATTTCACCTCTTGTCTGCGACATCTCTTTAGCAATTCTACAGCTTCAGCGTATAAAAGCTGTTTCGAATCATCCTCTTTCGACCCGTCGCGACTTGTATTATGAACAACCACTGCAGCATCACGGCTTTCCGTCGAGCCGAATCGACGTTGGGCCTGTTTAAAAGTGGTTAATATTACACAAAGGACAACGCTTAGAACAGAAAACTCACAATGATCATCTGGTAAAGTTCCGGATACTTATTTTTCACCTCGAGGTCGCGGCTCAGTTCGACCATATCCATCCTGCTAATGGTCGACCGACGACTTGTCTCACCGCTATCCGATATACCGTAGCCCTGAAAGCAAAATTGCAGAGCGGTCTGGACGCTCTAGTGAAAAACGTTGAAAGGTGGAAGTGAGGATAGGACGGGATGAACTACGATAGTTGAACGGCAGCGAGGATAACATCGTTTGAACGCCTACCACCGCAGTAGCAAACATGTGAGCGAACAGGCCGTAGTTAAACAAATCCAACACTATCCATGCTTTTTTTGCTATATTTTTGCATGCACCGACTAATGACTAAAACATGCGCTATTCGATCAACAGTTGGAAAATCTGCAGCGAATCTGGCGCGCCCATCATAGATAAGTGGGACGGCTTCTGTGTGAGCATCCGGTGAGGCCAAGTGCAAAATCAGGTGGTTCTGACGCCGCAAAGATGTTTTTTAGGCGGTCGTTGATAGCGGGCATCGACCAGCGAACACGCTCATTGATACACGCAATCATGCAGCCTGTTGCGATGCATAGCACACTGCCCGCTGAGGTTCGAAAATTCATGAACTTACGGCAAGCGCAGTATCCCGTTTACACCGTAATGCGCTATAGAGCGAACATCACGTTATATGCAGTAGAGCATGTTATGTTAGTAACAGGCTCTGAATTTTGAAATTCCTAATGAATTTGTTTACAGCTGCGACTGTATGCATTATGCTACCTTCCAAACAGTGCAAAAAGTAAGAAATCAGATGGGATCCCAAAAGGGTATATCCGATTATCTCCTAGCAGTCAGAGACCAATCACCTAAAAAGTACTATTTTCATCTACTGCAAAGAAAAGTCTCAGGATATAATTTTGTTTTCTAATGCTATTTTATGTGATTTTTACTATCGTGAACATCAAATGAATCGATTGCTTCTGCAGAGAACACCAGACAATATACGATGAGGCATGTAATGCATTCTCACACAACAGAAAAATTTCTCTAGCCCAAATCGCATGAAGATGAACTGGGTGGCAAAAAAAAGACTTCAGTTATCATAAATATGCATTTGCGGGAAGGATTTTTGAAAGCCATTAGATTCCTACTGTCATACAACATGAACATTATTTGAAGAACGAAGTAAGAACGACTGAAAACAAAGAGCCCAAAACTAGCTAACCTCGCTTACCTCATCACTTTCGATGGGAGGGTCACCACATTCCGAGGTTCTGGAAGAAATCAACATTGGCGACGCAGCGACTGATTCGGGGCTGAAACTGTGAAAAAGAAACTTAACAAAAGCTAAATTTTTCAAGTGTAAATCTAAATGAAAGGTAGCAGAGGTGAGACTTTTTCGTCGTCGTTTTCAAGTAGTTTTTCCGTTCAAAAACGTTTGCCTTTCCAATTCCATGCATGCTTTGCAAAAATTAAGTTATAATGCGAATGACTTCACAAATTTGCACAAAGCGCTGCCATGAATAGATTTCTGTTGTGAATGTTGTGGTCCACATCCGGGGGTTTATCCTAACTGTAAGACTTTCTTCTTATTGCTCAAATATAAAAATACTGCAAGAATGAAAGCTGCCTTTTACAAAAAAGGGACTCGGCAGCAATTGATCTGATAGTTCACAGATCTGCACTTTCATGAGTGCTGAGTGAAACTGAGTGGATTCATATCAAACACTGAAATCTTCACGGGATCAACTGAGGTAAGTGATCTATCCTGTCATTGCCTAGTTACAACAAACAAGTAAGAAAGAGTAAAAGTAA